CTTGAGCCATCCCCAACCCCCCCCCCCCTTTCGCTCTGCTTCACGATACCGATCCGCGTGCCTCTCTTCTCCTTCTTCTTTTTCGGTCTCTTCTTCTTCTTCCAAGTTTGCTCTGCGACTTTCATCCGGCTGCTTCTCGATCGATCGACTTTGTTCTGCCGACTAGTCACAGGTGTGCATCCCGGTCAGGCTGCACTCCACCTGCTTTCTCTTGCCCGCCTACGCGCTTGCTTCGGTCCATCCGACTGTACTGGCTCGTGCGCTCGGAAGCCTCCCGACTGGTGTGCTAGGCTAAGCCTTTGACCTGCCCAAGGCATCTCGTTCGCACCTCTTGCTCGGTCAAGCTCGCCCATCGCTCCTTACAGCCATGCCGCCCTCGTCGAGACACGCCGCGCATCCTTCGCACCATCCGCGAGACATGCATCTCTCGGGTCCAGCGGGTGGTCCACCGCCTCACGGTGGGCCCGGTGGGCCCGGTGGTGCCGGAATGCCTCCGTCGGGCGGCCCGGGAAGCCAATCTCTGCATCATCCGCACTCGTCTTACGCCCAGTCCATGCCGCCGCCGCCAGGACTGCCTCCACACGCCATGAACGGCGTCAACGGCCCTCCCTCCGGCCACGGCGGCCCTCCTCCTCGCATGATCATGGCCGACGGTCCGCCCGGTGGTGCTGGCGGCCCTCCGCCCCCGCCGCCGCCCCATATCCCCAGATCCTCGTCAGCGCAGAGCCGCATCATGGACGCTGGCGCCGGTGCTTCCGGCGCCGCTCCTCCCGCTCCCGGCGCCTCGTCGTCTCCCGCCGTGCAGAAACTCTCGCTCGCCAACGAGGCCGCCTGGGTTTCGGTCGGTGCCGCTGCCGAGACCATGGAGGACTACGACCGCGCGCTCTCGGCATACGAGACCGCGCTCCGCCACAATCCATACTCGGTGCCCGCCCTCAGCGCCATCGCGGGCGTACACCGTACGCTCGACAACTTTGAAAAGGCCGTCGACTACTTCCAGCGCGTGCTCAACATTGTGCCTGAGAACGGCGACACCTGGGGCTCCATGGGCCACTGCTACCTCATGATGGACGACCTTCAGCGCGCCTACACCGCCTACCAGCAAGCCCTCTACCACCTCCCCAACCCCAAGGAGCCCAAGCTCTGGTACGGCATCGGCATCCTCTACGATCGCTACGGCAGTCTCGAGCACGCAGAAGAGGCATTCGCCAGCGTCGTTCGCATGGATCCCAACTACGAAAAGGCAAACGAGATCTACTTCCGCCTCGGCATCATCTACAAGCAGCAGAACAAGTTCCCCGCCAGCCTCGAATGCTTCCGCTACATTCTCGACAATCCGCCGCGTCCGCTCACCGAGATCGACATCTGGTTCCAGATCGGACACGTCTACGAGCAGCAGAAGGAGTTCAACGCCGCCAAGGACGCCTACGAGCGCGTCCTCGCCGAGAATCCCAACCACGCAAAGGTGCTCCAGCAGCTCGGCTGGCTCTACCATCTCTCCAACGCCGGCTTCAACAACCAGGAGCGCGCCATCCAGTTCCTCACCAAGTCGCTCGAGTCGGATCCCAACGACGCACAGAGCTGGTACCTCCTCGGCCGCGCCTACATGGCCGAGCAGAACTACAACAAGGCCTACGAAGCGTACCAGCAGGCCGTCTACCGCGATGGCAAGAACCCAACCTTTTGGTGCTCCATCGGCGTCCTCTACTACAAGATCAACCAGTACCGCGACGCCCTAGACGCCTACTCGCGTGCCATCCGCCTCAACCCCTACATCTCGGAGGTGTGGTTCGACCTCGGCAGCCTGTACGAGGCTTGCAACAACCAGATCAGCGACGCCATCCACGCCTACGAGCGCGCCGCCGACCTCGATCCCGACAACCCGCAGATCCAGCAGCGTCTTCAGCTCCTGCGCAACGCAGAAGCCAAGGGCGGCGAGCTTCCAGAGGCTCCCGTTCCTCAGGACGTCCATCCCACCGCCTACGCCAACAACGGCGGCATGGCTCCCGGTCCCCCTACTCAAATCAGTGGCGGCCCTGGCCCTTCGTATCCACCATCGCTCGGTGGACCTCAGCTGGCCGGAAACGCAGGCGGTCGTGGCGATGCTGGTGAGCGCGAACTGCCCGGTCCAGGACATCTGCCGCAGTCGCACTCGCCTCCACCGTTCCGCGGTCCCGACGACCGTGGTTCGCGCGGCGG